AGGATGGTGAAGATTTCTAGACAGTCAAAAAAAAAAGGTAAATAAAAGAAGCCAAGCAAACCCAAGCAGTTCTGTGGCTGCTACTGCATTCTGGAGAGGCATGCATTTGCTTCCAGAAGTTAATGAGTCAGTGTCTTAAGGGCTTTTTTGCTAGGGCTGGCTTCTTGCCTGTCCATTCTGAGATTTCTTGGCTCATCTGATAATCTCTGCTGCATTAAGGCTATTTCAATTTGGAAGTAGGTAGAGGGGAACACATGTGTAGCATAAATACTGCTGTCATGCCATGTCATCATGGTCTCTATTTTTCCAGTAACTTTGAGGAGAGTTAGACCCTTCTGTTGTTGAAAGTAGCTGTTTTGGAGAAGGTTTCTGGGAATTGATGACGTTTGTGTGGTAGAGTGAAGACTCATGGCCTGTTCAGCAAGTCGTATGTTGGATTCTGGAATTCTGGCTTGTTGCTGGGGTCCGTGCAGTTCATAGTTCATAGTTACAGAGCAGTTCAGAGAAGCATTCAGAAGAACTGGCATCCTATAATAAATGTAGGAACTTTTGTACACTACAGCCAAATTCAAGACCTTGAACTTGTATAATAGAGGCTTGACTTCCCCAGTTCATCTTCTGCTTGGTTATTAAGAACAATTCAACATATTTTCCTGGACTGGAGTAATCTATGTCAATGCTGTGGGAGGGCAGAAAGAGAAGGTCAGCTGTTTTTAATACTGGTGTTTTTCGCCTCTGCCAGGGCGTTCTAATTATACCCTGGATAAAATATCAAACTTCAAAGTCCTTCACACAAGGAGGGTTCTCTGTTTTCAGTGGCATTAGATACACATGTATCACATAAACATATGTATAATAAATTTTGATCTGTATTGGGTAACTGTATTACCTGATTGCTCTGCTCTTGTTTGATAGTATCTTATTGGGAGCACTGAAGAATTGGTGACATATAGAAGTATATCTTGTAGACTTAGCTCCATTTTGCAGCTGAAGAAGTTATTCAGGGTTACATTGAGCCTTCTCCATCTCTTATGTGTTATGACTGACCGCTGGACAAGAGATAAAGATTTTTAAGTAGCTTAGTGGTGGTGTTATGTATCTGGCCTGAGAGAAGGATTCAGAAATTTTCTTCTAGTAATGATAAAAACATAGTTGCTTCTAGTGTTTTTTAAAAAGCATAACAGGAAAAGTAAATGAGTAGGAGGTGCTCATTAACTTTATATTAGAAGGTTTTTTTCTTCTCTCCCTTAAAGTGTCTGCTGTGCTGTTTTCCTGCGATTAGCTTTCATTAAGACCAAAATTTATTCTATTACATTATTTTCTATGCCAGATATGCAGTAATTAAATAGTTCAGAAATGTAACACAACACTGTGAGAAAGCGTTTTTCTGTCCCCTGCTGTTATGTGGTAGAAATCTTGTAGTGTGTTTTATAAATACATTTTTTTCAATTCTCATTTATGTGGTTTGGGAAGTATTGTAGGAGATATTAAAGTGTCATGACTATTAGAAAAGTGCTCTAGGGAGTTTTGTGGTGCGCCCTACTTCCCCCCCAAGTTATTGGGATAACTGGAAAGCAAAATTTGCCATACAGTCTTGATGGTGTTCAAAGAAAAGCCAGTAGTAACCAGCTGTGTGGTTTTGCTTCTCCTTTTCTACGACTCTGCTCCACTCTTATGAGACCCCACTGCAAGTACTGTGTTCAGCCTAGGGGGGCCCACAACATAAGAGGGATGTTGACCTGCTCAGTCGAGTCTAGAGGAGGGCCATGAGGGTCATCAGAGGGTGGGAGCAACTCCTGTGAAGACTGGCTGAGAGAACTGGGGTTCAACCTGGAGAAGAGAAGGCTCAGGGAAGACTTTGGAGCAGCTTCCAGTTCCTAAAGGGGGCATGCAAGAAAGTTGGAGAGGAACTTTTTACAAGGACATGTAGTGATAGGAGAAGGGGCAATGGCTTTAAACTGACAGAGGGTAGATTTAGATTAGACATTAGGAAGAAATTCTTTACTATGAGGATGGTGAGACACTGGCACAGGTTGCCCAGGGAAGCTGCGGGTGCCTGATCCCTGGCAGTTCAAGGCCAGGTTGGACACAGCTTGGAGCAACCTGGTCTAGTAGAGGTTGGAACTGCCTGCCCATGGCAGGGGAGTTGAAACTAGATGAGCTTTAAGGTTATCCTTTCCAACTCTGACCATTCTACAATTCTTTTAAGTTTTCAGTGATTAGAGCAGTCTTAAGCATTGAAAGAGTCTGGATTCACACAAGCTATGTTTAAGAATGTTTGTAATCCTCAAACACTAGCTCAACGACTATGTGATGCTGAGAACAGAGCACTTTTAATTCTGAACTAGGCATTTGTTTATCCTGGCTACATGGAAGGGAAAATCTGCTTCTTGGTTAAAGTATTCTTTGGTCAGATGGAGGTTATTTCTGTGACTACAAAAGTAATGTCGTTCAGCTTTCCTAGGTACTTCCTGTATTTTTTTCCTGTTGTCAATGAAATTTTGGAATTTTATGCTTTTTATGCTGTGAGATGTTTCAGAGTGCAGACTAGGTCTTTTTCCAGCTGAGACTGCAGTCAAGGCAGACTGAAGCAATATGCTCTGAGAAGAAGTGTGAATTTTCTCGTATGTTTCAGTGAGCATTAATAGGAAGACTAATTAGGAAGACTTGAAGCCAAAATTGCTTCCATCAGCTGTAGTTGGATGCATGTGGCGTTCCAAGTTTAAATCTGTTTGAAGAATTTGGAATCAGAAGTGAGGAAAAGAAGTTTAAATCTAACTCAGGGCTTAAATTTAGGGTAGAATCAGGAAAAATAAAAGTCTAACAGAGTTACCATATGAATAACTCTGTACTCTAACAAAAATGGTGGAGATCATATATTTGTAATTATTATTAGTTTCAATTCCAGTTTCAAGACCACATGTAAAAAATGGTACCTCACAGTTATTAGCAACATGATCCATCAGGCAAAAAGCTGGTAGTATTCTACTCTCCATTTCTTTTTCCCTAATGTGAGCATCATGTTTGTATTTTATGGACATCATCAGCACCCTGTGAATACCTCTTAAATTGTGTTGGTCCATTTCAACCAGCTCTGACAGTTTGGTGAAGTCTTAGAGATGGCTGTGTGCTGTAGCTGCTGTGAAAGTAGGTGGCAAGAGACAATGTGGTGGTGTGAGCTTGTGCTTTGAAATGGGAGTGTACATGGTGGAACAGGGACTCAATATGAGGCAGGAAGGCTTCTGCAAGAATTTCTACCTTCTTAGGAACCCTGGCTCCTTTGGAACTGGAAGACAAGTATGTAATAGACAGGTACCAGTCAAGGAACTCTGTAATTTTTTTTTTTGTGGACTATAATGCATTTTTTTTTTCTTCTGTTGTCCTGCAAGTGCAAGGAGTGATCAAGTCTGGTCCCAAATAGGGAGAAATACTGAAGTTGAGGTAAAGGATCTTTATTTGGATACATAGCAAAAGAAGTGCTGCCATTATAAAAAGTGGTTGCACCATTGGAAGCTCTCTTTCCTACCTGAATTTTTTTAATCAAAGCAATTTCATACTGTCTATCTGCCATGAACCTAATGAGCAATATGAGCTTGCTGAGGTGCAGCCACATGACTCAGTGAGAGCTAATCCTCTAATGAGTGGATTAGGTGTTTATTTCTGGTTGTCCAGAGCCTGTGATGCTCAGCACATGTCACTGGGTATATGAGAGCTCTCAGACAGTCCTTAGTAACCTCTCTTTTACCTTCCTCATCTTAGCTTTTCCATCCCCTCCTGAATATCACCTCACAGATTTCTCTGTTCCTGATATTTGAGCTTGGGTTACATTTAATAAATCATGCTACATATGGTTTCTGAGTGCTGTTGTATTTGGTCTGCATATGACACACAACCTAAATGGAACATGAAATTTTTGTCTTGTCTTTTAGTAAATCACCTGGGGGAAGTGTTGTGCTTTAAGCCCAGCTGACAACTAAGTGGCACCACATGGCAGCACACTTGCTCCTGCCTCCTCCCCCCAAGTGGGAGGGAGGAGAGAGTTGGAATTATAAGCAAGAAAGATGATGGGTTGAGATTAGACCAGTTTAACAACTGGGGGTAGATGAAAGGAAAAAAACAAAGAGAAATGAAACCCAAGAAAGATGAATTATGCAAATGATGACAGTTGCTCACCACCAGCTGATTAATGGCCAGCCAGTCCCCAAGCAGTGCCCTCTCCACCTACCTTCCCCCGTCTTTATATGCTGAGCATGACACAATATGGTATGGAATATCCGTTTGGTCAGTTGGGGTCATCTGTCCCAGCTGTGTCCCCTCCCAGCTCCTTGTGCACCCCCAGCCTCCTCACTGGTGGGGTGGGTGACAGGCAAAAAAGGCCTGTGTAAGCCCTGCTCAGCAGTAATTAGACCATCCCTGTGTTGTCACCACTGTTTCCAGCACAAATCCAAAGCATAGCCCCATACCAGCTACAGTGAAGGAAATTAACTCTGTTCCTGCCAAAACCAGTACAGGAAGTATATTTTGAATCAGTGAGATTCAAAAGAGATGAGTTGTGTCCGAGAGGCCATCATTAATCTGGCTTGTTTCCAGCACTGCCATTTTAAAGTGCATTTAGTGATTATTTTTTTTAATTATTTTTTCATTTTTGGAAAATGAGAAGAGGGGTGATGTAAGAGGAATCAGTCCTGAGACTCACGAGTTATGATACCTCTACCATTTGTGATATACAAGCTACCTAATATTATGTGGGGAGCTGCTGTTGCTGCTGCTTACTACAGTTTTCTTTTTGTAATGATGGTGTCTGAGTAAAACAAATTTGAAAATCTCCCACTTAATGTTTCCATTCTTATAATCTTGAATGGTTTATAAGATCTTACTTTGTCAAGAAACCTGTTACTTTCTATTTCTGCATTTCACCTTGAATTTGATGTTTTGCCCTCTGGGCACTGATGTTAATATGAGTTCTGTGTTGTACTTATGTGATAAATCTTTCTTCGCAGATCATTCAACTTCAAGTGGTACATCCTCATTTAAGCCCAGCCAATCACTGGTTTCTATTCCTACTGCCCATGTGATGCCGTCTAATGCCAGATCTTCATTTTCCAAACACAGGGAAGCTTTCAAGTCTGATGGCTCGAAATGGAGTACAAGCTTTGTACGGTCAGGAGGAGGCAGAAATCAGGGTGCCCTGGACAATTCTCTTGACATGAAAGATGCAAAACCTGTGAGAAGGTGGTCTTCCTTGTCTAAACTCAGCTCACCAAATACCTTCAGCCAAGATGGTAGTAGTCATTCAGTGGACTCCAGGGCCAGTACAGACAAATCTGTGTCACCACAATTAAGGACAAATGGGCCAAGTTGTTTGCATGATAGCATGGAGTTGCTAAAAATTGAGGACAAAGAAACAGGGAAAAAACGATCTTCTCTACTGGACTGCAAATACAAATTTGAAACATGCAGCAAAGACGATTTTTCAGATTCCTCAAGTAGGAGACATGCCTTAGACTTGACCTACAGTGCCTTACCTGAAAGCAAACCTACAGCAGCCAGCAGCGAAGCATTTGGACAGAGATATGCGACTCTAGGACAGCAGGCTGTGAGTGGAGCTCCCATACAGCCAGCAGTGAGGACTCAAATGTGGCTGAAAGAGCAGTTACGTGCTAATCCCCTGGAGTGCAGGACTGCGGAGGAGCCCTACGGCGTAGCTGCATGGCACGTGCAGCAGCTTGAAGATTTTAGAACTGGAGGTGAGCAGCCTGTGCAGGTAAGGCTAAAGCTTGGTGTTCGCTGCCACCATGTGGCATCCCGAAGGAAAAACATCAGGCAGGTTTTAATGAAATAGAAATGGGAGCAGGTCCTTTTAACCAAGTGATACTGTTTTAAACTTTGATTAGGGATGCTGCTGCTGTTTCTCAATATCACCTGAATGTCAGCAGGGATTTTTTTTTTGGCGTCCACTTATGGTTTACTCTGCATGAGACATCCACTATGCATGAGATGTCCACTGTGGTTTATCTGCATGAGACTAGCATCTCTTTTTGTGAAGCTGGACACAATAAGAGGTCCATCAAATAACATTTTCAGAAGTTCTTAAGAGAGCCTTTGGTCACAGTGTTGTAGGGAAGTGGGGGGAAATGTGAATGTTTTTTTTTTTTTGATCTAAGCAGCTTTACAAAGATGCTACATGTTTCAGTCAGCAAAATAATAGGGTCTCCTGTGTTCTGCAAGGGTGAATATTCACATTAAGTGCTAGGCATAATGATATTAAATTCCGTTTGATACTACTGCAGGTTTTTAACTAATTAGAATCAACTAATGGTAGTCAATGTGATTCCCTAAAGTAAAATATGTAAGTATTGTGTCTCATACTTGAAGTATTTTCATGTACAAAACATCAAGCTTGTGGTATTGAGAGAGAGAACGCTTTCTAATGTGACAATTTACAGTCTTTGTTTCCAGCTCTTCCCTTAACAGCAAAAGGTAGCTTATGAAGGAAGGCAGTATTTTAAATCTAAATGTTGAGGTGTACCTGTGTAGGTAAACTTGGCTTGCCAAAAACTTCCCAAGCAGATTACAATAGCTAGGATATTATGTGAGCAGAGATAATCTAGCTCTGTGTGTAAACTACTTGTTTTCTCCAGCCTGAGGATATATGAAGTAATTTACTAAGAGCTTTACTTAAATTTTGTTGTTTCTTTGAAGGAAAGATGGACAAATGTATATTGAAGGAAAGATGGACAAATGTAGAGGCTCTTCAGGTTTAATTTTGTTCTTAATGGTGATCCATTTTTTTTTTTATAAGGAAATTTTATTTATAAAAATTTTATTTAAAAAAAAGCCAACTGATATGGCCAAACTGACAGTAATCCTTAAAAAACTCTCTAAAGACCTGATACTGTTTCAGGGAGCCACCTATTCCATTACCCTTACCACTGCAAAACCCCCTCATCTTTCTTTAAGCTTTTTGAAGATTCAGTGTTGAAAAATTCCCATGTAGAGGCAGAGGCTAATGGGGTTCTTTCAGAGCAAATGTGACAGAAACTGGCTCATTACGGGGGCTGGATCGGGGCACTGCCAGTGGGCTTCTGGCAACTCACAGCTACCAGTGATGTCAAGGAGCACAGGAAGGTTTATGAAGTGACTTATTTCCTTCATTGAGGTGAATGTCTCTTCATCATCTCGTATGGACCTTTTGTTTGGGATGGATGTTCTAGGAACTTATTTTTTGTTAAGTCACAACTCACAGCTTTTTTTTATGTCTGGCAAGAACTTTTTCACTGTTGATTGTGATTAAATACAGTGTCTCCTTTTTGTATGAAGGCATAGTTTCATGTTTGGAATGGTTGAAGCCCTGCATATGTTACTGTGGTTATTTAAAAACTTTTGTGCGTGCAGATATTGATACTGAGCTGTGTTTTAAGGGCAGAGCCAACAGAGGGAGCACAAGCATTAGTTATGTTTTTGGCTGAATTCATAAAATAATAGGTGCTTTTCAGGTTTGTAAGACTAAAGCATGAAATTTTGCCTAAACACTTCTTTTTTCTTTTTTCTTTTTCCTCGTTATTTTTGTATCTGTATCGGTAATGATTATGTATGTTACAGGATCCATTTAGCCCTGGTTTAGGAAGCTAATGGCCGTTTGGTCAGCCCTGGAAAACCGGGAAAGTCCTTGAAGCTGTGGCCTTTGCTCTGCTTACCCTGACTTCCCACTTGAATGTGAGGGGGGGCCCCAGGGGCTGTGACAGTAAATTCAGGACACAAGGGGTGTGGAGGAGGCTCCAGGTGGCCTTAGCAGGTGGAGCACCTCTTCAGAAAAGGCGCATCATTCCGCTGTGGGTGTGATGTTTGTACCTTTGGAAATAGATTTCCAAATGGGATCTGGTCTGTGGTTGTTGTGTAACATCCTGGAGTTGTATATGAAAATTGTTTTCTCTAGCTAATGTGTCCTATTTAATGGATGCTTTTTGAAGATAAGTATTATATGTGTTTCCTAGGAACAGATTTTGACAGTAAAATAATTTCCATGCACAATTTATTTTTTACTGTACACAGTTTATATTTTACCATATACTTTATTTATTCTCGGTGTACTGCTGATCTTTCAGCAGGCATGACCATTGTGATACCTTACTTTTTTTAACTCTCGGGTAACACACAACGGCGGTTCGCATTTACTGCACTGGGAGGCTGTACAAATCTAGATAAAAAGACTGTGCATTTTCATATAAAGGCATTTCTCAAGGCCAGATCCTCTTGTCTAGCTCATTATCTGAAAGCACCTAGGTAAATACTGTGTGCTAGCCCAGAAGATGAGTAAAAAAAAAAGCATGCTTTTAAAATTGTGGGAGATAGTAAGGTGTAAGAAGAAAGGTTTCAGAAGGTCACAGATCTACTCACTAGCTCTGTACAATGTTGTAGGCATCACTCTTTTCCATTGTATGGGGCATCTGTATGATTTCTTCATGGTGTGCTAACTTGTGTCAGAATTTAGCAGAGCGAATAGATGGAAATTGCGTAAGTGCATCTTTTTCCTTTAAGGTATCTGGTTTACTGTTTTTTTTTTTTCCTTCATGAGGAAAATGCTGCTTTGTTAATGTGTGTGTGTGGGCGTATATATATACACACCATGTATATAAAAGTCACTGGAAATCAAATTTTAATGCAGTGAGAGATAGAGATAACTACAACTATCTTCATTTCAAAATGGAAGTAAGTAAACTTCATGCATACCTAAACACCGCAGAACAAAAGTTGTGAAACCTTAATGGAAAGAAAAAGGTAAAATCTTCTTCAAATACTATTGTTGCCACAGAAAAGTTTATTCTGATATTAGCTGAAAGCTAGTTTTTCGTATGGTCCTGGCAGTTAACTAAAAATTATTCATGTCAACATTTTTCCTGTGTCACATGTTGATAAACCATACTTTTCAGCAAGATGAAACTTTTTAACATGAGCAGTTATCACCTTTGCTTAGTGGAGTAAACTCCTTTACTGTGAGTCACAATTAAGCTCTTTTGTTCTGTTCTTTTGGCTGTGAAGTTGGTAGTCCAGCAACTGGGATTCTGTTTGTTACATTGCGTATGTGGGCTCAGTCTGGAGTAAGCACTAGCAGATGATGGGAAGTCAAACTTGGACCATGCTTGATTGCAGAAAGAGACTTGGCACTGGTTAGCTGATAACTTTGCCAGTTTTATATGTCATCTTAAGAAAATGCGTATTTCAGTTTGAGCGATGTATTTCAGCATTTGTTGACTTCATTGCTGATTGAGAGGAGGTTGTATATTGTTTTTCTTTCTGCATGCTAACAACAGGGTTTCTTATATGCTTCCTTTGTATGTAATTTTGAATCTGGGAATACATGATTGTTGATGACACTAGTAGTAAAAAGGAATGTATGGCTTGTTTTTTGTCAGGGTTACCTCATTTATCTCATTTTAGCTATTAAACTGTCACAGTGGTTTCCCTAAGATAGGGAAACCTTCGACTATGCAGACAGACAAATAAGCTTTGTGCAGTCCTGAGCGGAGTATCAGTGAATAGCTGTTTTGTTGGGAAAATGTTTTTTATTCTTTAGACAAGAGTGGGCTTCATGTCAGTTTGTGTGGTTTTGGTATGCTTCGAGCCATCTATGTCAAGCATCAGCAGAAATCTTCCAGAGTGATAGATAACTCCGTAAGTGTTAGGACTTATATCCCTTGTGTACATATATATATATTTTATGTAGAATATTTCAAGATTATCAGAGTATTTAATAAAGTGCTTTCAGCGATGTAGCTATGCAAAGTTTTCTGCTTTAAATGCAAACAGGCAGGAACTGATACTGCCATGTCAGTATTAAAAAGTTATAGATAGGTAGTTTGCAGAAGCTGTTTCAAATGTTTATTGCACATAGAGTAGGTGGGAGAAAAGCTTTTGTTTTAACTATCCATGCTGGCCTACCTAATTGTGCTGGTTTGAGCGGGCTGGATTTAATTTTCCTTACAGTAGCTAGTATGGGACTAGGTTTTGTATTTGGCTGAAAACTGCGTTTCCAGCCCAAACCAGCACACTAAGGCTGTGTAAGCTTTGGAGTAGGTAGCATAGAGCAGAATGTGGATACCTGTTAAAGGTAGGACTGGTATAAGCTGTGTTTTGCTAGGCATACTGCTGTTTCGTAGAAGTCTTCTTTTAGCTCCAGCGCAGATAAGTTTCTTCCAGATCACTGAACCACCCACAATATCCAGTAATCTGGAAATCCTGAGGATGAACAGGAGTCAATCAGCTCTGTAATACACTTGGCACTTCTGAGAAGTGCTGGATCAACAGTGAATGTGCTGAATTGGGGGCGTGCTCTTGGCAATAAAAAGCTGGAAGCTGAGGCTTCCCCGCCCCATGAGCAACGTTGGCTTCATTTGCATGTGTACAAAAGACTGTTCATGTGTGTATGTATGGCATTAAATTCACTGTACAATACATATGCATTGGTATAATTTGTTCTCATGTTGTCTTTGGGAAAGGGAGGTCCTTGTTTGGCCCCAGTGTAATACATATAATGTACTTCTGGCCACCTTCTTTCCCAGTGTGTATCAAGTGTATAGAGCTGCCTGCCTTCTGGGCAAATAATTCCAGCAGAAGTGAGCTCTTGGTCACTGTCCTTCCAACGACCTGTGGGGAAACTGCATCCTGTGAAGGGCCATAGAAGAAGGTCGTGTAAGAAGCTTATGTTGCATGCTGAAAGTGAGGACAAGCTATGGACTGGATGATTGCACTGGCAAGTAACAAGTGGTCTGTCAAATATGGCTTGAGGGCTCCCATACTGCCCACTTGACCTGTGCTTAAGTGGTAAATCCGGCTTATTGAGGCTGTAGGACACTTCCTGGGTTCATGCAGAGGCACCTCTTGCTTGAGTGCAGGTCAGTGTTAAGGGCTCCTAGGGAGAGTTATGATAACCCTTGCTAATGGTAGTTTACTTTTCAGTTGTTTTGACTGCTTCCCTTTGATACTGTTGGATAACACTAATGCCTTCTGGCTTTTAAGGTGTTGCTATGAGCTGTAGGTGGTCAAAAGAGGTATAATAATTACATTTTCATATTTAAACTTAACTTATCCCCATCTCAGTTGCTGCAAGCTGCTTTTCATGGATAAAAAACTTTGTTTCCATCTAGAGCATCTGTGCTTTTGCTCTCCACAGATAATTTGGTGCGTGCTGTCAACCCAGTGTTTGTATTTCATTCTCTCTTCCTGCTGTTTCTGTGTCATTTCCTGTAATGTTCTACAGAAACTCCATTTAAAAAAATCGATTTCTGCTGTCCCTTTTTGCAGAAATGATGTTCTCTGAAGGCTGCATATCTTTTGTAGATCTTTAAATACAGGTCAGGTGTAGCAGTGAGAAAACTACAGTAACTGATGACACATACTTGGATTTCTTCAGGTACTCAGCAAGGCTCTAGGTGCTTTCTTTACTCAGAGGCAAGTAGATGATGGTGGACAATTTTTAGGATTGCCTTCTGATAAAATAGGCATGTGGATACTTTGTCGTGTATTTCAGTCTCTGCAGGATTTGCATATTTATATTCAGATAGTTTGAAGTGTCTACATTATCATTGCAAAGCAAGACTTGAAGCAGAACTTCACAGAGGTTCACATCAGCTTCACAAGGATAAATGCGAGCACCAGAACCAAGACAATAAGCAGAAAATTGAGCAGCAGGTTGACACCTCTGTTGTTAGCAAGATCCATGATGTGCATTAGTCTGCCCTCTTGTGCTTGCTGCAGACTCTTGATGGTAGATTTGGGTTGTTCCTGCAGTAGTAAGCAGTGTAGAATCACACTTAATTTCATTGTGTCCTTGGCTGTTTGCTTGGTTTTAATTTCCACCACTTAAGAAAAAAAACGTTTTACAGTAACTGTTTCCCCCTCCCCCCCAACAAAAGAATGTGGATGCTCCTTCAAGTCTAATTTTCCAAATGCCTTAAAAATAAAAGAAAAATAAAGTTAGTGATAGCTTTCATCTTTGCAGGCCCATGGGATTTTTCAAAAAGAATGGCTGTTCTCAACACCTACTTGTTTCAGCAATGGACTGTTGAAAATTCCTTCTAAAAGATCTCTATAGATGCCAAAACCACTCAACTTCCTCATCTGTGCAAAAAGTCCCGCTTTTAATAGGAGTATTTCCTACCCTTCTAGGGTTTGGCATCGTGCAGTGGGTAATGTTTTGCCAGCAGTGTGCTGTGTGGGATTAATTGCAACTTTGCAAATGCCATATTAAGAATCTAGATTGGGCGGGCAGAGGATGCATCCTGTGTGCTTTTAATAGCACATACGCAATAGCTTATTTTAAGATAGTATTAATAACTTAGCGATTGTGTTTTTTATATATAGAAAAAATAGATAAAAATGAAAGCAACGAATAGCCCTAACAGTGAAATGTTGCCAAAATGTCCTTTTAATAACTAGCTGAAGTTTTAGGAAATGCCACAAGAGGGCAGTGTTTTACAGTTTTATATTTTATTAAAAATTATTGCACTTTTGTATTCTTTTATCTTACAATACAGTGGGCTTATAAAGCAATCTGTTTGACTGAAATGTCGGATATTACAGTAAATCTAAGGTCTGTTTTAAATAATTTATATTACCAGGGTTCTTGCTGAGATGAGCAGCAGGTTTGAAGGAATCCTTATTTATAAATTGCTGTTTTTAGTCCTTGCAATGAGCAAGAGGCTTTGCATGTATCCTTCCACAACTAAAACAGATTCTCTTCTCTACCCCCCTGTTTTTAACATCTAAGCCAAAACTAAAAGGAAAAACTACATTTCTGGTGAAATAAAGATACCTATGGATCTTGTAGGACTTCACAAATATTTTCTAATTGTATTCTGACAGATGCTGTTTATTAATAGCCATACAAATACAGGTATCTGGCCTGTAATCTATAGTATAGCAGTATGCATCTTGATATGAGCAAGAATACTCCCTAAATAACTGCTTTTGTTACTCTGCTCTAATTTTGGCGGAGAGGATACAGGTAAAGTATGGCATGAGTGTGTGTGTCTGTGATTATTGCTTTGTGTGCAGTTGTAGCAAAACTTGCATTAAAGACCTTTATGCCAAGGGGGTTGGCAAATATTCTGTGCATATTTTGTGAATAATTTTGTTTAAGCCTATTTTACACTTGTCTTTCCACTGAGTGGTTTGGTTCTGCTGCTCGAAAGGGCAATTGTTGGTGAATTGGTACAGAAAAATTAACAACTGCAAGTACCTGCTGCCCTCTAAAGTGCCTCACTCTGGCTAGTGTTGATTAGAGCAAAAGTTCAATGCTGAAATGGGTTGTCTTCACCTACAGAAAAATGGGTAGCTGTAGCAATTTTTGCTGAAGAATGACTGAGGAGACGCATCTTTATAACCAGAATAATCTTGTTCCTCATTTAGCTCTTTCCAGAGTAAAATAGCCACTGAAGTTTGTCTTTAGTGGTTTTTTTGTTGTTGTTGGGTGTTGTTTTTTTTGAGGAAGAGTAATACCAGATTGTTGCCTCTTTGGCTGTCTTTATTTACTATCAGTATATAAGATAAATTTAGCCTTGGGTAGAGTGGAACAGAGAATTGAAAACTTAATCCAAACTACATGCTGTGTTTGGAATTTTTATTACAGCTCATAAAAGTAGTGAACATTTTCATTACACTTACTTTAAATTCATTAGGCTCTCATGTGCACTAGTTACTATGAATTATGTGTAAATGATTTGGACATCGCAAAATAGGCAAGATTACTGTTGAAAACCAAAACAGAATAAACAGAAGTATCAAGAATTGGAAAGCTGGATGATGATTTGCTCTTTTTCATGTAACTTTAATAAGTAGATGATAGAATGCTTCTAAATGGAATTGTATTTAAGCATCTTGTTTTACACATTAATATATTTTCAAGCAGTCATTTTAATAAATAAAAATACAGTAGATGTTAGTTTTAACACCCATATAATTATACAAAGAAGACTGTACTATATACAAAAGGTTTTATGTTTGTAATCTCTGGCTTCAGTTGAAGAGATACAGAGGATGGTAGCGAGACTTTATGATCAGCATTAATCCTAAAACAAAAATGAACTATGCAGTACATGCAATTTTATTTGCATTGTTGTAGAATAGTAGGGCTTCCAGTTTATTTATACTCTGGTTTTGTTCTTAGTTGTTAATTGTTGGTTTATGTTTTGTATTTTTAATAAATAATGGCCTTTCAGCTACCTATGAGGAAGCTGGTAGGTTTTTTGTGAGAGAGGAATGAGAGTTTTATTTTCCTAGTAATATTTTACTTTGATTTTTATGTATTACTGGTTTATGAAACAAATAATCCCAACGCGTCCTCAGAATGTATGTACTGATGTTTTACTCTAACACCTTTTTTCTTAAGGAAACTTTCAGTACTATAAAACTATTGTCTATTTCCAGTAGTTTTTTTGAAACATCTCCATAGCAAACTAAAACTGGAAACCCTATCCATCACAAAAACACAGATGTAAAAAACATAAGAAAGTAGCTTTATATTTTTCTGTTCCCTTCCCACCCCAAAGTGCACTGCTTGTGGCTTTTCTTAAGAAGAAGAATTAATAGGAAACTGTGATTACTAAAATCTCATGCATTTGTGAGAGTGGTCAGAATGAATGAGAGGGAAATTAAGATTATTTTGACAGTTTGAATCAGCAATAGTCATATACTAATTTGCAGGTGGGGATGTGTGTTGCCAATCTCATCAGCACTTGCCCTAATCCTTTTAGAGTAGCTAACTAATTTCCTCTGGTGATTAACCTTATTTTGAAGTCTGGTCTCTCAACATTCTGTTTGCCAAAGAGGAAGCGCATTACCACTGGCCTTACTTGCATTCCATCAAATACAGAGTTTTTTTCCAAACATTTCTTCCCTCCCTGCTTAGGTGCTCAGCATCAACCTCCACTCATGGAATATTAAGTTTTAAAGTCAGAATGCAAGATTAAGATAAACTTGTTTCAATTTCTGTATTCATCACTAGGGTTGCTTACGCAGAATGGTATAGAAAGATGCTTGTTTAAAAATTGGATTTTTCTTTGACCTCTGTCTACCTTGAACTTTCTTGAAAATAGGAAACTGTAGATTTTCTAGGAATTTAGCTTAATACCAGCAACATATAGGAGGGTTGGAAGTCTGCTGCCCAGTCTTGTTACTGAAAACTGTTGGAGTAGAAACTTCATCTTTTATGGGTGTAGGCTGTGGTTTATATGTTGAAAATATACTTCTGCAATGCTTTGTGTCCAGTGTTTAACTGTTTATATGACGATTTATCTTGGGGAAATACTTGCCTTTTTTCCCCAAGAAGCATTTGCAGGTGTAAGTGGTGTTGTTACTTGAACAATACACTTCAATACAGCAGTAAGGGTGACCTAGACCTTCCTCATTACCGTATCAGATACCAGCTACCTTGTGTGACATTGGCAAATACCAAGTTCTCTTCAGCTTCAAGTTATGGAAATTGTAAGTTACAGCAGGCCATAATAAAGGTGTCTGACGCGAAATATTAAACTCTGAGAATTATTTCTGAGTTATGCCAACTGTCATGTCAGTTGAATGACTACAGAAAATGGAATCTTTGATACCAGTGTGGAAGTCTCCATTTTTTTCTACAAAACACAGTGAAAAAACTTTTCAGATGCCACTTAGTTCTGTAAGGATGTATTGAGTGAAAAATACTGTAAATGAAGATGCCTTTTTATATTTTTTTCCTTCTTTCTCAAATCCAGGTGTGTGGGGTGTGTATATATATATGTATATATACACACACATGAGACTATATATATAAAAGAACCCTTAAATAGGGAGGAAAGCAAATGGGATTTTATTTCAGGGTTAGAAGAGGTTTTTTGTTTATTTTCATATTTCCCTAAAAAAAAAACAAAACCAAAAACAAGAAAAACCCCACTAAACCAATGTGAATGCCTTCAGTTGATAATGCAACGATAAAACGTCTTTGAGTAAACAGAGCAGAAACTTCCCTAGGAGGCATTGAGGGCTCTGTGCCTGTAAATGCTTTTTTGGGCAGACGCAGGTCAACTTTGGAACCGCACCAAGGGCTTAAGGACTTTCAGAGAAACCTGAAAACACTCTGCCCACCACAAAAGTGAAGTTTCCATTTGTGGGATGTAGCTAAAACATTGAGGAACTTACCAACTCCATGAAGAGCAGGTACTTTACCCCATTCAGAAAAGACATCTCTTGATTGAGACATAAGGTCATGCACAGCTTTGTAACAACAGGCTCTGAACACCGTTCTTTACAGAAGTAGTGTGTTTTTAATACATGTAGCAGGTAGTAAGAGACAGTGAGATAGTTGGCATACAGCTCTAGTCCAAGTGCTAGCCCCTCTCACAAGAGGATCCTTGCATTGGGTGTCTTCCCTCTGGGGGTGACTCTCCTAGGGGACAGTGCAGAGAAGTGCTGGAACTTCAGAGGAGCATCACAATGATACAGATCAGCAAGAGGCAAATTAAAATCAGGCAGAAATTCACAAAGAGCTCTTGGAGCCTTTGGCGTGCTTGTGGGTTCACCTCAATAGTTGAGGCTCTCCTCAGAGCAGAGCGGGTTATGTATTGGACCTTCTCCATGGCAACAAGAAAGCAGAGGGCACAAATCAGAGCTTTTAAGAGGGCAGGAAAGAAGAAAAGTTGTCAGGAACAGTGCAAAATGCCTATTATCTTCTCTTTTTGTTTTAGAGAGCCTTTGTGGAGCTGGGAAAGCAGGAAAGTGAAGAGTTAGTAATACAGAAGTGTTTTGATCAGTACAAATAGAGATTGTTTTAAAATTCTAGAAAGCCTGAAATTAATAGATTGCCTTTACCATGATTTTAGATTAAAACAGTTTTTTTATAATTTTATTTTTCAAGTTTAGGTCTGTGCTGTATTGTGCTTCTTCTCCTGAAGACTATGGAGCACCTGCTTCTTAACAGTGCTAGGGAATTGTAAAATGGAAGTTGTGGATATGTGGGTTTTATCCACATCATTGATATAGGTCCTAAACTTTTCATCCTTTACAGTTTATAAAAAAGCCATGGCTGATTTCCCTCCCACCTCCACTTCATTTGTTCAAGCACAGGTGAAAGCCTGGTGAAATGGCTAGAGCCACAGACATTTCAGCAAGGAGATCTGGATATTACTGCTGGCTATTATTGACCTGGGCAGATAATCTGATTTACCAGTACCTTATTTTGGAAGGTGTGGGGGCAGGAAACCTTGCTGAAGCATTTCCATTCCAAACAAAAATTCTTTATGGTGTGTAATTAAAAACTAGTGCATCACTTTTATAGGGAATTTTTAGTAATGCATTTCTCAACAGACAAAACAGAGTAAGGACTAATGTGTTTTTTGTAATACACATCTAGGACAATGTGTTACTAAATGTAGGTGCAAAGGCAGAGCACTGCCATGAGGAGCAAAATAAAACGTGTATATAACTTGGTCTCTGAATTGTTTTATTTTAAGTATATCTTAAATGCAGATGAAGTATGGGGTGTCAATTATCTTAAAATTCTCAAAGAGCAGTTGCAATGTAAAACACTCCTGTATGAACTTTCTGTGACAAGAGGCTGGCTTGGACATATGCATGCTTAGCTTTTTAGTGAGGTGGAATCTGTAGGTGCTGCCACAATATGAAAACTTGGTTTTCAAGATGATGTTGAGACCTGTATCTCTCAAACCTTGCTCCTAAAGCTGAATGTTTTGTGAATTTATATTGTGATCATCTCTTTCCCAGGCTTCTCCTTGTCAGATATCTGCTGCCCAAATAACATAAGTATGACTGAATCGGATACTGTGTTGTCCACGAATTTGTCTTTAGATGTGGCTAAAATGGAAAAACCTTGAAGTAAAACAAGCATCTTTCAGACTCTTAGTTTTTTGTCCTTCCATGTAGGCCTGTAGGGTCAAATAGTACTGTATGAGCACAATATATGTGCTGCCAGTGCCAGTGTTGTATTTAAAAAGAGGCTTTCAAAGGAAACCAGATTACACATGGGTATTTTAATAACTTTAGAGGATTCCATGTGATGACATCTCCTCCTAAAACTGAACTTCAGATTTTGTAATGATGTTTTGAACTATAGTTGATCTTAACCTTATTGTGAATAAGATACAAATCAAGAACTTACTTTTGTAGTGACTATAATTTTTCAGCTTTGTTTGACTTTATGCTGTGCCTGGTTTTGTCTATTTAAGCAGTTAAAGTGCTTGCCAAGTATTCTGCTTAGCTTTTTGCTTGTCACTGTCTGCCCCAAGTGCAGTAAAAGCAAAACACGCACAGAGATTCTCAGGTGACTTGGCCGAAAGTACATTTGTTCTCCCAGCCCATGACAGGCAGGGGTGCATTAGGCTGTTTATCTTCTTCTAGACAAGGCATGTTAGATGAACCACTAATGCATTTACACGAGTACAGAAAAGTTTGTGTAACCAGCTTGTGTGACAGACACTGCACAGAGAACAGTATTTCTTGTGGATTACTTGAACACAACTTGTTACATCATTTTTTTAATGCAGGGTGTATGCAACTTGTGGTCTTCTGGCTGTGTGTGACCTGTGACAGAAACATATCTGTCTTCTTCCTGACTTCTTGAGGCCCTTATAAGGATTGGAACAGCATAAGTTTTTCCCAGCATATATGCACAATAAGTCCATTTCTGTGTGCTGCACTGGATTTAAGTGCACATGTGCTGGCACCTGCACTGCTGCGTTGCTGCATGTTTCACTTGGATGTTTCAAGGGGGAAGGATGTGGGTCTCTGAAGTACTTCCAGAAAAAACAGTATTAGCCGATTTGGCATTGCAGATGCAAGGCCAAGACAGGTAAGGAGAAATAGTGAGATCTCGGGGGGGGGGGATAATCTTCCCTTTAGAATGGGTGAGAGATGTTACTGAGGGAGCAGGCAGTAACTCAGAAGGCACAGTTGAGCTGAGCCAGCATTATCTTTTTGGACATACATGACCAGACAGGCAATGCAAAAGGACCTTAAAAAAAAAAAAGAAAGGTGGTGTAATTTAAAATACATACCTTTTACAGCTAGAAAGTGGTGTAGGGAAGAGATGAGGAAAGGTCAACATAGAGTAACTTGGTTTTCTTGACTTAAAAGCTCATGTAGGTATTTTGAAATGCCAGCCTGTCTGTGGGATTTGTTTTCTCATAAGCAAAGGAATCAAATTCTGTGTCTGTATTACAAAAAGTTTGTCTTTACAAGCGCATGGTTTTAACTAATAAACACATACCTTCCTTGTTAATCCTCCATGGCGCTGTCACCCACCTAAAGTATGCATAAAGAGAAACAGATTCAGTAATACAGCTGCATATGGGTGTCTACCAAGGTCAAAATGGACAGTCTGAGAAATAATTACACAGAAATAAAGGCTCTTTTCCCTTGTTTAGTCCCCTGACCGTGTTTTAGGTCACTGTTAGGAAGTATTATGCATGCACCACTTCCTGAAAGTGCAGCAAAAGGGCACACTATGACCTTTCTTTAAAGTTGCGTTACTCATATGTGACAAGACCAAGTATTGCATAGAAGAAACTGCTGGCTGCATTGTTGTGCAGATATGCATTCAGTCCAGTTTGTTAGTGGATGTGAAAGGCTTGTCTTACACGCAGTGTGAATCTGCAGGTAGAGATCATGGGGCTGACAGTCTGTTTCCATGTAAGGGGTCCCCTACACCTGGTGCCCTAGAGTGAATCACGGATCACAATTGTTGTGTCCTCCTTCCCTGACATGTGACTGTTTCCCTGATTTGTATTAGGTTATTTTTATCTTTGTTCCTGGGTGTCCTTCACAATGCGAGGAGGTATGTGACCGGAGAGAAAACTGTGGGCCACCCTTGTTCCTGGTGCAACTACATTGACTCCATTGAAAGTCACACAGGATAAATTTGTCTCCTTTGGAAATGCCACAGCAATTTGGGACACAGATTGTTTCCTGTCATATGTTTACTAAATGCAGCAGTGATATCAGTGGAATGGAAGAGGTTTGACACACTTGATTTGTTGCTGTTCCATGCAACCAAGCGATGCCCTGAAAGGGCATTGTTAAAAAGTACTATTGTGTAACAGTCTATCAAATAGATTTTAAGATGAGATGTCCCCAAACCCCAGTAATTCAGCTTCATCCATTGAAAATAAATGTATTCATAACCACAATGCAGTGATGCAAAGCATACCATCAAGTTACGTGATCCTTGGTTGTGTTTAAATCTGTTAGCAAAAATTACCTGGCCTAAGAAATTCCTATAGCAATTTGCAAGCAGTGTGATACTCCTAGACAGGAAGGGCATCTTTCTTCTACATGTTCAGAGGAGGTAAGTTTAAAGATTTGTGTGTATAGTGACAAACAAAAAGCAACTCTGCATGCAGGGCTAAATGCTGTTGAACCCAAAGACCCTTGTCACCGTTGTCTGTAGATTGTATGGCCCCAAGAGAAGACATAGCAGAGTTTTAAAGCTTTGCCTGGACACAGCATCTGCAGTTGATGTGTAGGCATCACTGACTGTCCTGTGTTAATGTATATATCGTACTCCAAGTTGCATTGCTTTGTTTTGAACCCTGCTGTAATATACCTCATCATTGGCAGTGTGGAGTCACTGTGGTTGAGACCTTCAGGTCTGAAAAATCTCTTTTTTTTTGGGGGGGGGGGGTTGAGGAAGATGAGAAGTGAAAAAAGAGTGAAGCAGGAAGCAGTGTGAATTAACTTGAGACCTCTGGAGGGTCTCTCTACTGTCACTTCAGTAAGTGAAAGCTCCCAGTGGTAAAACAGAAGTTGCTTACAGGTTTTCAAGAGCACTGGAACAGGTTGCCCAGGGGGGTTGTGGAGTCTCCTACGTTGGAGATACGCAAGGCCCATCTGGACAAGTTCCTGTGTGATGTACTCTAGGTTACCCTACTCTTGCAGGGGGGTTGGACTAGATGATCTTTTGAGGTCCCTTCCAACCCTTGGGATTCTGTGATATGTCATAATTTTTTACTTTTGTTCTTTTTTACAAAGAGACCCCAAGAATTATCGGGTGACTTGCTAGGATTTACCCCAGCAGCTGGGTTTTGTATGAACCTATGCTAGGGGTACAGAATTCTGTTGCTTATTCTCATACTAGGCTGAGAGTTGCCCTAGGCAATTCTGTCAGTGAAGAAGGGTATTAAGGATATTAGCAAATTCAACAGTTGCTGGGATGGGTGAGGGCAAGAGTGCAGACACTAGTGCAGGAGAAGACAGGCTGAGGGAGGAAACTATAAAAAGATGACCAGAGGAAGAGCATGGAAGTGTAGAAGAAAACTCCAAATAACTGTGTAAGGGAAAGGAGAAGACTGCAGCTGGAGTACATTAAGTCATTGAAGAGTTAGTGTCTTGTGCCATATAATGTCATTTTCTCAGTCACCTGCAGAAAGCGCTTCCTTGGGATGGGGCAAGAAGCAACAATTCGTCTCGGAGTTTGGCAAGTGCTGGTAGCAGGAAAAGCAAACTCAGTTTTTCCTCCTTTTTACCTTTTGTGTTAAAGTCTGTTTTGTACTGGAAGTGTCAGTACTTTTCATGCTTGGGAGAGGACAAGAGAAGGCTCACACTTTTGTTTTTCTACTCCCTATCTCATTAATCCATTACTTTTACAGTCTTCCTTTTGACTAGCTTTGATGTTCTCAGTGTTCTAGAAATAAGATTATCAGTAAGAACCTTTATCTGTATTTCAAGTGCATGAGAATGTGACAGGTGTAGATACCAAGAAATTACACCAATGAATAGTTGAACACACCAGGCTTGGTATCTTTTTTTTTTTGGAACTTATCCACATACCTCATGGATAACCGGGACTTCTGTCTGTGTGCGGGTTCGTTAGAGTAGCCTGGGAGCTAATGCTTTGGGCTAGTTTTCAACTGGGTTAAATTCGCTGCAACTGCTGCAGGACCAGGCAGTGGGATCTTGAGCAGGTGCTTCAGCCTCCATACTCATCAATTCCCCTCATCAAAATAAAACATTAAATAACCATATCTTTTTCCCATCTGTTGGTGTGATACGGCTTTTACAGAGTAACTTTCTTTTATGAAATTAAGTCCTTCCACCTCTAGATGCACCAGGTGCCTAACACCTTGTTAGGGAACATAACATTACTTTCCTGTGGAGTTTGTTTCTTCAGTTGGGGTACTTTTCCTAAATCAAATTATTCTTAAAGCAATTTAAAAGCTGCTCTTGTAGCTGTGTAGTTATATCCCATTTTTCTTGTCTTGTGGTCTGAAAAAAGTCAGTGACAATCGCCTTCAAGCTATCTTGTTGCAACCTGATTTTAGTGAGTTCCATACTGTCCAGTGAAGATGCTATATTCCTAATGTTTTCAAAGGATGAGAAATAAATGCAACTTTTAAAAACAGAAATGTGGTGTATACATAAATCCAAATCTCTAAATGCAAGTAACATAGTTGTCCTGACAAATGAGTGGCAAAAAAAGGCAGAAAATTGTTACTTGATGTAAATTAAATGTGGTATTTCACATCTGATTGGTAATACCACCTGCTATGTAGCACATGCTTCTGTCAGGACTGTTGGCTGTTGTTACTCAGCATTTGGCTTCCTGTGATATGGGATGTTATCAGTGTGAATTTTTTAGGTTTAACTTTACAGCTGGGCCATGCTGTCATCTTCTTTAAATTACCTAACTCTCTGGCAGAACAGAATTCAGATGAACAGGCGTCTAACCTCCTGCAGCTATCAATGCAGTCCAGTAAACGGCTGCCTGCAGCAGTCAAGTGTCTATGTATGTTCAATCTGTGTGTGTACGCATAAACTATGTATTTTCAAAGATGTGTGTATGCAGTGTTTGTGTTAGGAGAGAAGGATGCTCTGTGGGGCGAGTAACCTCTCTCTTTACTGGAAAATACGTTTTGTGTAAGACTAACCCTGAAAAGAATCTGTCTATCTCTCAGGATCTTCTTGCTCATTGTAGGCATTGGTTTGAAGGCACTGGAAGGTCTGAAGTGATGCTTCTGCCTACTGGAAACAGCTTCTAGAGAACTTGGTAATAGATTGTTTGCCTTAGAAGTAACAGGATGTCCAGAACTTCCAGTACTTGTCTATTCAAAACTGGCACAAGGCTGCTGAGCACAAGCCTAAGGGCCTGCATGTATTTTTGCCTGATGCCTACCAGTCATTAGTAGGAAATGGAATTAGGTGTGGCTGTTCAGTAACAGGGAAAACGTGCCCCACACAATTAAGGTCTATATTAAAGCTGACTTTTCTAAAACCAGAACCTTAAGCGGACATAACTAGTAAGGTGTGAATTGATAGGAGGGGGGAACATGTTTGTATGGAGAAGGAATTCCTTGAAAACCGACATATTCATGAATCATAATCCTTTTAAAAATATCTGTATATTTAAATATTAAAATGTTCTTTATGTGACATATTTCTGTTTGAGATGCACTGTGCAGTGATTTTAAAACTGGAGTTACATTTTGTTGTATAGTGTGTACATGCTTCCCTTAGTTGAAAACAATTACTTTGCATTTGAAATTAAGTTCATGTTACAAATCTTAGATAAATTATTTCTCTGTTACTAGAAGCATTCTTTGACAAGTTTGGCAGTTATAATGATCAACAAGAGAAAATAAGCCTTTAAAAACATTCACAGCAAAAATGTAGCTTGAACTGCAAGTCAAGCAATTCAATGCATGTTTGAACGTGACATAATATCTGTTCCAGTACTGCTATACACTGCTTACGTTTGTAAATTAAGGGTACTTTTTCATCATACAGCAAAAAAAAACCATTTTCTCTCTTGGTGTATTAGATCAGAAAACTGGTTTTACGCATTAAATGTGGTGAAAGAGCTTTACCTTTGCTTGGCTGTGCTTGGGCAGCTTTGGGGAAACAAAAGTGTTTCTATAAAACTTTGAGTTGCTCTCTTTGTGGATTTTGTATTTAAAAACAATAATAATTAAAAAAACCCACCACTAAAAAAAAAACCCCACCAAACAAGGAAAAAAAATCAAACAACACAAACACCCCAAACCAACAAGAAAGGCAAAAAAAAAAAAACCTCAAAAACCCAAAATCTAAACAAACAAAAAAACAAACAAAACCCCAACCAACCCCCAAATAACAAAAAAAAAAAAAAAAAGCCAAAACAACCCCATAACCCCAAATCACACAACCTCAAACTGAAAACCTGATAAATTTAAAAGGAGAGACGAAGGTCTGAGGAACATGTTAAAAGCTTCTCACCTTCTGGTGTAATGCTACTTGTGTGAATCATCTACCCAAGGAAAGCTGGTGTCCCACAAGCATGTAGAAAAGTCTCAGTTGCCTTTATTGTTGCTAATATACGTTCCCACAGCATTACAGTTTTGACTCGGAGCTGCAGTGCCCACATCTCCATATTTTTTATAACCAGTTGTAACCAGCCCTTAAGTACAGGCATTTTTGTACAAAAGTACAGCTACAGTGCCTTGCTGCAAGAACAAAAAGCATGAAAGAAGAGAGGTTCCTTACCTCTGGTGTGATTGCTAGTGAAGCACAGAGAAGCCTGCTCCAGGCTGTGGGAAGTGTCTGTAGATCTCTGGCAACTTGTCCGAGTCTGTGACCAAGTTGTGGGAACAATTGAAGTGGGCTGAGGGGGGGAAAATAACAAAAGTTTCAGAGGCAGGACTCTCGGTGTCATTCAGCAGCTTGCAAGTTGTGATTGGTCCTGTTTCTGCCTGCTGGCAGAGGCAGTCGCTCCTCTAAACTTGTTCACAGTAATAATGTATTAAACATGGGTAGTATTGTCCCTCCTTGAAGGGAGCTGTGTGCCAGGGCAACCACCTGCTCAAGCACAGAATTAAGGAATCTGGGAAACGGCATGCTCCAGTGGGGTAGCAAAGGGAGCTGCTTGCTCACACCATGCCTTTTCTTAACCAGGAACATAAACAGGAATTTTTTCAGGGGGCGCTTTTGGACATGTTACTTTTGCTACAGCAGTATTTCTTCATCGTTAAAAACCTAATCTGTGGTGTAGGTGATCACATTTCAAATGTTTGTTGCTTTTTTTTTTTTTTCCTTGCAATGATTTTCTTTTGTACAAGGAGTTTCTTAAACTGTATTTCCCATATACATAGTTCTGCTAATTCTGTTACACAGCTGGTATTCAGTTTAGTGTATGATGTGTGTTTTCCAGTATCATCTTTTTTCTCACAGTGCTTGAACTGAAATAATTCTTCTGTATTTCAAGTCTCTTCCAACCTTTCAGTTGATCTGTGGGTTAAAGGAATTATTTTTTTGTTCTCCAAATAAGATCCAGTGATAAATTACAGAGATAAACTTACCATTCCTATATAACTTGAAGTATTTACTTTTCCTTTAAAGCCTACGCCTGCTCTTCCCCCTTACTCCCCCCCATTTTTTCTTTTTTTTTGTGGCTGAAAACTCTCCAAGTGATTTCTTGAGAGCCTGTTCTGTTAGTTCGGACAGGATCAGCAGCTGGATGCTACTTCCCAGGTTATCTTATATATGTTACCCTGTGCTGGGAAATGACAAATGAGACCACAGTGCATATACGGGGTAGGTTTTGTGGATCCAGGAAGTAGAGGATTTACTGAATGTGAAAGGACTGAATTGTTGAGTGTGCAAGCATTCAGTGTAAGGCTTTGCATGTGGAGGCAAAGGACAGCACATACCTCTTCCTCATTGGGAAATTGGAGGCAAAAGTACAGAAGCTCAGCCTAACTGTGAACTTACAGATCTGCTTTTGACAATAATTATTAGTGCTTGGCTTTGAGCAGGGAACCAGACAGGGTAGCTTCTTTTTCTAATTTATTGGGGGGGTTGGGTTTTTTCATTCCATGTAAGCCTTGCTGTGATACATGCTTCAAACCAGAGGCAAAAAGACCTTGGCTGTGATATATCACCTTATTCCAAATTGAGCTCTACTTTTATTTCTGTAAATAAGATTTAGCTCTTCTGGAAAAGTGATAGTAACAGAGTTGAAGTTGGCAACTCAGTTTTAATATAATAAATCTGCCTGCTTTCTGTTATCTTTTAATATCAAACCCAGAAATATAGGGTCACATATTTCAGTTGAAAGTTAATTGAAAATCTCTACAGTGAGGAGTGATAGTTCTTTACCAGTGAAAATGTTTTCATAATTTACTTATAGTGGCATTGTTAAACATTATAAATCTCTCACAATCAAGCAAACTGTAGTTGGTCTTTTTATGAGGGAAGCTTCACGTTTTTATTCCATGCTGTCTTCAGGAAAAGTACTGCTATCATGGCATTGTTTGATTTTTTTTTTTTTAAAGATGCAATATGAAACTTGTACTGTTGAAATTCACTTCTGTACTTTGTTATTGAAGTCTAACTCCCAGCACTGCAGTAGCTGTGATTCAGGTTTCTCCCTTTTACCAAGTCTCTGTAAAATGATCATGTTATTTAGTTACTCCACCCCAAATTATCAGCTTTTTTTTTTCCAGTGAATTGAACTGAAACATCATGGTAGAACTTTTTAGGAACAAGAAGCCTTAAAAGAATGCTGGTTTTGTTTGTGAGCTGGTGACACGGTCACAGCTTGGTCGTCTTTTTAAAGAATGATGCTTAAATGTGCAGGGTAGGGCATCAATAAAAATAGCACTATGTCATCAGAAATATAATGCATGCCTTCAGTAAATGTCTAACTCCAGTAAGAAATTGTAAGATAGAAAATACATTTGTTAAATAGCAGTAGCATGTGCAAGTTCAGACCATGTGGATGTTGTAGATCTTCTATTGATGTTGTTTCTCTGGCAACAAGCTTGTTTTGGGTACCCTTCTTGGAGAACAGTTTTCCAGTTTAGTATCACTCCCTCATGTAATTCATGGGGAGTTTGGTGGAGTTCTGAGGCAGATGACAAAGTTGCTTATGGGACTTGTCAGTCTGACAGGTACAGACAGGATATACAAGCACATGCTGTATTGTTTGATTCACCCCTGTGTGAATGGGTCCAGACACCCATGTATATCAGAAGGAGAAGCTTTTTAAACAGAATCTCTGTTGGAGGTTCTAGTCTGCTTTATTTTGTTCTGGGAAACAAAAATGTGCAGCTGTTGCTTGCTTGACCTTAAATGGAGAAGATCTGGGCTCTCTCCAGTGGGATTAGAAATCTTCCACTAGAGCATGTTTCTTATAAACTTATTTAGGGATCTGGATATTTGGGATAATGTCCAAAAAGAGGTGTGTTATACTGCAGCATACCAAGTCCTTTATTTAAATAATGATAGTAAAAATTCTCTTCACACTGGACTATGGTTGTGTTTCATATACGAGTTTTTTAAGTTTCCAGCTGCAGACACTGGGCACCTGTATAATCTGTGTAGATTTTGAGATGTCTGTATCTGATCTGTTGGTAATCCGTGGCCCTGCATAGAAATGAACCATAATCCAAGCGCAATTATAACACACAGGTCAAAAAAAAATTAGCAGTAAGTCTGAGAAGTCAGGCTAGTGCATAATTTCACAGTGCTGCTGCAGTTTTGTCTCATACTGAATATATTACTATGACACCACACTGCTGAGGTTCTTGGGTTGCACGTGTTTGATTTAAAAGTAACTAAAAACAAAGAGAAGGGAGAAATGGATGCTCCCACAGACATGCATCAGTTTGTGTGTGTATGTGGGCCGGAATAGCAGGTTTTGGTATTGAAGCTGAACATTGAAATGATAATTTCCCCTTTTGTAACCAGAATTTTTATGGTCTGACTCCAAGATGCTTCCTGCAGCAGGTGTAATTGTTTTTAGCCATCCAGGTGTCAGCAAATGTGGCTTTTATAAGATGCTTTTTGTCCATCTCTGCTAGGGTAAAAGACCCAACTAATGTTGCATTTGTACTACAGGTCTAACACAACCTAAAGGGAGAGTTTTTCCTTCTGAAAGTACAGGAGAAGCAGTTATTTTCAGGTGCTGTCAACAGCATTCAACTTTTACACCAGGTAAGGAGATAGCCTAATCAATTCAGAGATAGCATCATTTTTTTTAATTGCTTTGAGGTTTTAACAGATTTGGCTCATGTTTGTTTTACCTGATGCCTCCTTTGATGGTTGACTTCATTGATTCTCCTTTCTGGAATGTCAGTGGGTTTTGGATGTATGTGGATGAAATTGCCTTTCTGAGGCTGAAGATTTTCCTCCTTATATAGTGAGACTTGAAATCTCTGTTAGTGTTACAGGACAGAGCTCTGCTGAGAAATCTAGGCTTTGTATTGTGTTATTCTCCTCTGGGACAAGAAGTGGTTACTTTTCCTAAGCATTGGACAATCATTAAATTAGTTTGATCTTCACATTCTGTTCTTCACTATAAACAAGAACTTACTTTCTGAAGCTGCAACTTGTGAAGCATACCATTGCAAAGTGATTTAAAAACTTGTACTAAATAAATTAATGGGAAATTATACAGCTGGGGCTGAAATATTTCTCATTTTGGGAGTGCTGAAGGCTCTGGCAGGACTAGTCATCTGATTTGTTACTAAGCAAAGACATTTTCAGAAAGGTCTTCTTGAATGTTTTCAGTTGCTGTTATTGGCATGAACTTTTAACCATTAAAGTAGATCACGGGGCTCAGGAGTGCGTAACGCCTGTTTTTTTGTCTTTGGTGCTTTGACCCCATATTAGGAGAGAAATAAAAGATTTTGCCTGGCTCTTTCTCTGAAAATCCACCTTACCCTTCCTCTTCCTGTACCCCCACAGGGAGCACTTATTTCACTTGGAGGAAACGCAGCAGAGACTTGACCTATGCAGCCTTTTTTGCAGCAAAATATTGACAGCACAAAAACCCATGCTGTTTCAAATCCCTGGTTGCTTTCATATCAATGAAGTGTACTTTTTTTGCTAGATTAATGACGGTCAAATAATTGGATAGTAACAGTTAATTGCAGTGGTACAAAGTGTCTTCAAAATAACAACATGATACAGAATAAAAGTTTGATCTTCATTGCAATGGAAATTTTATTTCTCTGAAATGCCTGGGAGAACTGTATTTTGGTGTTTACTGATGTCCTCAATTGGTTAAGCTGAACAATGTGCTTTAGGCGATGTGCTGAGATCCTTATACCTAAGAAACTGTGTTGAGTGTCATTGAGATAAACTGTTCTAGGAAGCACAGAGATTAGTTGTGTTATTTGACGTGCTATGAGTGATGGATGAACGGTGGGACAAAGGCATATGAAGGAGAGATAAAGTTGGGAGACCATGTTCCAGCTGCCAAGTGGTGGTGCTGGATTATCTCCACTGAAACAGTAACTGCAAGATGGGGAGAAACAATTGGGATTTAGACTTAGCTGCTACTTATTATCACCTGAAGGTTGTACTGAAAGGGATGCATGAAAATAATGCTGAAGGAATGCATAGAAATTACCAAAATGATGAACACATTAGCAGCATTTAAAAGCTAAAAGGTTCTCTCATGCAGGGTATTGCAGTGACCATCCTCATGTAGTGTGGAGGGGGAGCTGCTAGGTGAGTGGCCTCAATGGCTTTCCTCACTGGGATCTTCATTCATATTAACGTGGAGATTGCACAGATCAGACATTTAAAGAGTTTTTATGCTAATTTTCAATTGGTCCTACGTAAAGATGAGCAGATGGGAAATGTGGACTGGGAACACCTTTCGTTCTCTTGGTTGGCATTAGAGTGGTGTCTTCTTCCACTCAGTACTCGCACCTATTGCCCTGCTGTTTGTTTGTTGGGTTCTTTTTTTTACTTCATTTCTAGGGAGTGGCTATAAATAAGACTAGCACAATTCCCATGGTGTATGTTAGCTAGCTATCACTTCCTTTCTTTGTTACATGCCGTTCATAGCGAAAACACTAAGGGATTTTTGCTTGTTTGTTTTTTATCTTCATCAGAAATCACTGAAGTTTATTTAAATAACAGAATATCTTTTGCTTCTTCAGAAATTAAGTGCTGTTTCACAGTTACATA